TAATGCAGTGTTTTCTCTGTTTCCCTAAGGAACCTTCATTGAAAGAACAGTAAACATTAAAGACACATTAAGACACTCATACAAAAACAAAAAAGGGACCGACTTGGCTTATAAATGCTAATACTCATTACAGATGGTCTGCATCCATCTTGTGTGAAGGGAGTGAAGAGGAAAGTAATTTGAGCAAACGAATCTGGACTGCTCCTCATGCTTTTGTCATTCACTGGGCTTGTTACCTTTTGAATTCCAGCAGTTGGGCTGCTTGTGTCCTGTTTTAGTGCCCTTCATAAACCATCTCCCCCTGTTAACCTGGCCTGATGGCCCCAATGGAGTGGCCATGACAATGGATGTTCATTTTACCGCTATAAAAGGGCTTAATGATTAAAAGGCCGCATCATTGCACTCTGCCACAGAACTCATTCTTTTGCTCCCGTGAAGTCCCTTTGATTCAAAATGTTCTTTTGACAGGATCAAGAGTGGTTTTCATTCAGCTGGGCGGCAGAAACATCTGCATTTTCTATCCTCTACCTCCTACTCAGTGCACATAGTTAATGTGTAATTAATGAAACATCCCTTCATGGAGTGTCACACAATTGCCATGGGTCTCCCACCAACCTCGCTTCAGCTCCAATAAAGCAGGTCTGCTTTTATATCCTTGTACCCTCATTCAGCGATAGCAATAAACCAAGCTTCAAGCTTATCTAGCCAGCTTACATCTTAATCTTTTTTTCCATCCTCACTCTTCTTTCTCCTAAAAAAAGGGGGGCTGGATAAAAAAACCCTATTCAATTTCTTTAGCGTTATTCAAGCACATTGGAAATGGGTAAACCCAATGCACAGTGATATTCAAAGCAGAATAGAGATGACAAGGTTGAAAAAGGTCTAAGGAAAGGTCTATAGTTTGAAACAGAGATCTCATCTGGCAAGATGAAAAGACATTAGAGTTTTCACGGCATGTAGTTTAAGGTATTAAAGAGCACACTAACACTTCTTAACTGGATGCAGATAAAACCCTAAAGGTAAAAGGACCCCTGACCATTAGGTCCAGTCGTGGCCGACTCTGGGGTTGCGGCGCTCATCTTGCTTTATTGGCTGAGGGAGCCGGCATACAGCTTCCAGGTCATGAGGTCACCATGACTAAGCTGCTTCTGGCGAACCAGAGCAGTGCACGGAAATGCCGTTTACCTTCCCGCTGGAGCGGTACCTATTTATCTACTTGCACTTTGATGTGCTTTCGAACTGCTAGGTTGGCAGGAGCTGGGACTGAGCAACTGGAGCTCACTCCATTGCGGGGATTCGAACCGCCGACCTTCTGCTCGGCAAGCCCTAGGCTCTGTGGTTTAGACCACAGCGCCACCCGCGTCCCAGATAAAATCCTACTATCTGTCAATATGGCACAGGGATATGGAAACTTTGCCCTCCCCCCAAGATGTTGTTGGACTCCAATTCCCATCAGCCCCAACCATTTTTTTGTCATGGATAATGATTGCTATTCTGCCACTTTCCATCCACACCAGTGAATGGCACCTGACTGGCTGTATGGGGGTGTGGTTGTGTCTCTCCTCTCTATACTCCATTGCCTTTTTCTGTTCTGGTCCAATCAGAAGAAAGACTATGACCACCATTTGGCCTGGTGCCTTAAGCTCAAGGTGGGCCTCAAATTTAGACACTTGTGGGTGGTTTGTTTTTTAAAAATTTTTTTTGAGAAATTTCACCTCTTGCCTTATGCACATTGGTTTAAAGTGTGACACACTCAGAATAGAGCTGCAAATTTATGCAAATAAGATGTACCAGTGATGTTTTGCAGACACTGTGAAAAACTTGCATTCATGAGCAGTACTAGTTCCAGAATGAGGTCCCATGTTTCAAAACAATATTCCACTTTGCTCTAACAACTTGATAGGATAGTTTCAGAAAACTGTGATTTCCCTACAAAAGAACATTGTGCTCTGTGAATTAGTAATCATATGCATTCTCCATGGAAACCCACATTATCTGGAAAGGCCTATATTCAGAAGCACTGCAAACAGGTTTTAAACTATCAGGTCTTGAAACCAAAAATTTCAAAGTTTCAATGTTTCAAACCTGACTGACCTCAGGCTTGAACTGCTCCCAGGTCGTCAGCAGAGTCCCCAAGGCAAGTTGACATTGACTAGTGTCCATTGACAATTCCTACACATTCACTTTAGTTTGGTCATGTTGTTCAGATGCCTGATTATCATCTTCCAAAACAACTACTCTATTCTGAACTTAAAAATGGAAAGCGTAATGCTGGTGGTCAACAAAAGACATTTAAAGACTCTCTCAAGGCAAATCTTTAAAAATGTAGTATAAACACCGACAACTGGGAAACAATGGCCTGTGAACACTCCAATTGTAGAACAGCCTTTACCAAAGGTGTCATGGACTTTGAAGACGCTTGAACTCAGGGGGAAAGGGGAAAATGTGCTAAGAGGAAGGCAAACTTGGCAAACCCTCACCATGATCAACTCTGGCCTGGAAACCTATGTCCCCACTGTGAAATGATCTGTGGATCCAGAATTGGCCTCCACAGGGACTCTCTGTTAAAACCATGTTCATGGAAGACAATCTTACTTGGCTATGAGCAATCGCCAAAGAAGATTGTAGGCTAGAATGGGGAATGCCTTGCAAGAGTAGTTGCATGACTTGAAACAGTAGTGTCGTAGCCAAGCCTAGTTTAGGAAATGGGATGGCAGGAATTTTGCAAAAGTGAAAGAATTCACACTTGCTCTCAGCAAACAGTTTTTCAGTACATTTCAGGCTGTGGACAGTAATACTTAATTACTGGGCAGGTCTCTACTCTAGGGACAAAGGCTCTGTCTCTGGGGACTGAGCTTAGCAGATGTTTGAGAAAGCTATGTGCAAGTTTTCTAAATGGGGGGGCAAACATTTTCTGATGTGTGTGTTTGTTTTTACAAAACGCTTTGCTACTGTAGGATGTTGCATGAGTCCATCTACATGGGTGAAAAAGAGAGACTTAACTAAAGTCTGATAGGTAAGACAGTACCACAAAAGGGGTGGGGAAACAGGCCATTCCCGTTGGATCTGTTAGACTTGGTTCTTCTAGAAGTGCTGTAATAGGACGTGGGAGATGGTGCTTCAAATCCCCACTCATCCATAAAGCTCATTGGGTTACCTTGGGCCAGTCACTGTCTTTCAGCCTATTCTACCTATAGGATTGTGTGAGAAAATAGGGAGGAGATAAAGGTAAGATATAAATGCAAAAAAATGCATGCAATACCTACATAAAAAGAAACTCAGGCATACATGTGTTATTATTTTCCTTTCTAAGCTCACTTTCCATTTCCAGATCATGTGTACTACCTTCAAAGGGATCAAATGAAGAAGAGGAGGAGGAGAATACAGAGCTCTTGAGGAGCAGAGGAGGATAAATTTTATTTAGTTTTCACTTAAAGGTGAATTTATCAAATTCACACTTTCCCAAAAGAACATGAGACCCAAAACATTGTCATCCTTTGAAAATCACACTTACCTGAAGCTTGTGGTGCAGTTCTTCAACCAATCAGTTTTTACAAAAATGAATGTATGACAAGAGAAAGTGCACATAAATGTTAGAGAAAATATCACGAAAAAATGTTTTTTTTATTATTATGCATGTATTTATTGCATTTATATGAGGAGAAACTGTTCACAAAAAATATGTACATTAGTCAAAACTGCTCAGTGGGAGAAATTTGCACAAAAATATTGAATATTTTAAAGAGGTTTTTTAAAATAGCAGGTTGCTGCAGAAATGTGGAGAATTGAATTTAAGATTGGAAAAATGAGAAACTGAGAGAACAGTGTTGTTTTGGGGGCTAGATTTTGTCTGTGTGTGTGTTTTTCTGTGCCCAAAGGCTAATTGTAATCAGGGTTCCTTCAGACTTACTATTTTGCAGGAGGGATTCAAGTGCATACCAGAACTTTAGGTTTGTACAGTTAAAGTGGATTAGAGGGATCTGTCAGCTTAGTGTAAAAATAAAAAATTGGACTTTTTTGCAGATTGGAAAGTCATAGGAAGTTGGGTGCATTGAAAAGTGTGGAATGGACAAATGATTAATGGGAAGATGAATAAACACCCCACAAGCAAATCAGGACAAATGTTCATTTTTTAATACAGTGGTACCTCAGATTACATACACTTCAGGTTACATACGCTTCAGGTTACATACACTTCAGGTTACAGACTCTGCTAACCCAGAAATAGTGCCTTGGGTTAAGAACTTTGCTTCAGGGTGAGAACAGAAATTGTGCAGCGACAGCAGGAGGCCCCATTAGGTAAAGTGGTACCTCAGGTTAAGAACAGTTTCAGGTTAAGAACGGACCTCCAGAACAAATTAAGGTCTTAACCAGAGGTACCACTGTACCATCCCCCTCCACAAAAAAGCATACTCAATAAATACCAGATTAAATCCAACTTCTGCATATGCAAATCAAGATGAATGCTGAAGAAACATGTCATCTGGAGTACCCGCTGCAGCCTCTACACATGTGCAAAGTGTTTTCCCCTTTATTACTGAGAAAGCAGTCATTGCTTGAAAGCCTGGGATTCAGGGAGAAGCTTCTGTTCTGGCTTCAATCCCAGTGCCTCTTTAAAAAAAAAAAATACATAAAATACAAATTAAGCACTGCCTACATCACACGAAGGCTGTTGTGGCTCAATTGCATTTCATTTATTGTGAAGTCTGGCTCAAAATGGAAAGCTCAAACCAGCTTGCCAACATATCCTTAGTGGAGGGAGGAAAAGGAAACTTCAAAGAGAGGTCCGGATTCCCTCACCCACCCCCGCACTTTATTCAAAAGTATAAGTGAGTCAGGAAAAGGATATAATGTTTGTCATGGGGATTAGCCCCCTACTGTGTTTGTTACATATGAGCACATTGAAAATTGCTGGAATACAGCAGAAACTGTTCTGCATCTCTGTAGTTGAATCGAATTCCAGGCATCAATAGTGTGTGTGTGTGTGTATATGTGTGTGTGTGTGTGCGTGCGTGTGTGCGTGTGTGTGTGTGTGCGCGTGTGTGTGTGCGTGCGCACACACACACACACACACACACACACAGTCTCATGGTGCAATGAGAGCAAAAGACAACTCAAGCCCTGGGTCTTAGCCCAAGCCTTCTCCCCAATCAGATACCCAACAAAACTAAGCCCTATGCAAAGGCCATGGATAGATTATAATGAAAGTTCCATAATCATTTGCCAGGAGGTTTGTGGGTGTCTGGAGAGTGCTCAAAATACTCACAAAGCCACATAGAATCCTGTTTGTTTCTACTCAAAGCAAATGAAACAAATCTAACTTCAAGCACAGTAACAGATGAAGGACCTCATTTACTGGGGAGGAAAAAATGGTCACTGTTCTTTAAGGATAGCTCCCCCATAGAATATGACTTGAATACTGCAATCTTGCTTGACCGGTATCTCAGAGCTCAGTAGGGCATCCTCACAAACAAGTAGGTACAGTGGGGAGGGGGATGAATCCCACTGAACGCAGCAGGACTTACTTCTGAGTAAGCATGCATAGGACCCAGTTGCACAACTGCTACCCCAAGAGTATTTACCAGAATGTGTTAATTGAGGAGTGAGTTCTGTTCTGTTCCATAGGATTTCTTTGGGGAGTAACATGCATAAGGGTGGATGTGAGACGAATTCTATTTCAGTTAAGCAAAAAACAAAACAAAACAACCTTTCTTTGACCCAATCTCATCTCTCATTTACTTAAATTCACAGCTCTGTGCTGAGAAAGTGTGTCACAGTTTGTCCCGTTGTGCATTCTGTGTATATTGTGGGTGGTACTGTTGTGAGTTCTTGGAGCAAAGTCATTTTATGCCACCCAGGGTGAGAAGCCAACAGTACTATAGAGCTGGCCCTCTCCCAGGTGAGAGGTGAGAGGAAAGTATTTGATAGTTCTTTGAGTGCGGGGCAGGAGCCCATTGGTGCTGCAGAGATGAGCAGAGTCTGTTGTCTCTGTGTGCTTGGTAGTAATCACTTGTAAGGAACATTTGAGTGTGTAGTGGGTGCATGTGGGTTTAGTAATGATGAGGGTGAGTGGTTTGGGTGCTTGGTTTGTAGAGATATTGCTGTACACTCCCTTGATATTTTAGGAAAGGGTGGTATGTGAATATATGTGAGTTCTTGTTAAAGCATTTATTCATTATTTATTTATATGAAGTGACGAATGGTTGCAGGGGTTGTGTAAATGGAAGTTGATAGTGATGGTGTGTGAGTAGTTGTGTGGATAGTGGTTGCGTATTATGTTGCCTTGGAGTGTGACTAGTGTATTTTACATTGTTTAGGTCATGATACCTTGTGTGTTGGTTTCTGATCTTTGTTATATAGATGTGCCTATTCTGGATATGGATATTGTATATTTATGTATGCATTTTTATTAATCCGTCCAAAATGATGCTAAGTTTATAAGGAAATCTGTGTGTTTTGATTCTGTATTTTTATTTTCCCTACTGTGTGCTGCTTTGGGATCTATGGATAGTAAGCAATCTAAAAATGGACTAAATAAAAATCAAGAAAGGATAAAATCCTTTCTGTCAATTCCCCCCTTCAAAAATAAAAAAAAGTTTTAATGATCCTAGCAAAAATGGGCAACAACTTCAGAAGCAGAAGGTAAGCTGATTTGGGAAAGAAACAAAAAATATTCCAGAAAAGTCTTTCAGTTCTGGAGCATTCGTATGAATAACTTTGGACCTTGCTTCTCAATCCTTTCTGCATGGAAATATTCCCCTTAGATGTTGGTAGGAGAGTTCCCAGTTGATTTTGCAGGAGTTACACCACTGTCTCTAAACTTTTCAGGTGTCTGTTTTGTTACACTTTACATTATATTCAGTCGTCTGTCTTCCAGCATCAGTGAAGCAAGAATTATCTTTGCATGTTTCCGACTTTGTCCTGAAAGAGTCCTGATGGTTCTGTGACTTCCACAAAGATGCTGATTCCAGAATATAGTGGGTTTTTGTGTCCTCTGGGCAGCGCAAGCTTGCTTTTGCAGCACTGGAGACACACTTAAGATCTGTGCTGCTGCATCTAATTAAAGAGACAGGGAGGGGGGGATGGCTTCCCCTTAGTTACTGCAGCTTTAAAGACTTAACAAAGTGTGGGGGAGGGGGGAGGAAAGAGAGAAATAAAGCACTGTCCTCCTCATGAAGGTGCTGAAAGGCAAAGCAAGCTCTCAGCTCCTTTTCTCTCTCTTGGTGGCATTTGAAAGTGTAAAGCTTTGAATACCAATTGCTTGAACTGGACATATGTGAATCTCTTCTAATCCTACTAATCCTGTCCCCAAGTGCTTCTTTGTATGTGGAGGCAACACACATAGATCTAAGTTAAAGTGGCCATAATCCTGGAAATGTGGAAAAATGTCCCAGTGTGAGAGCTAGGAGAGGGAATGGCTATCTAACAGAGGGGACCTGTTGGAGGAACTATTGTCTTGGCCAAGGGGTTGGGGGGGAGAGATGTGTGGAAATGGGAGGGGGAGCCAGGGATGACATGAAGGAGCGCTCTCACCTTTTCTGAGCTGCTGGGAGAAAAGCAAACCCACCCAGCGGGAAAGCTCCCTTGCAAACAGCCATTGCACACTTGAGCAAACCCACAGAACTGAGACAAAGTTCCTGGATGCTGGGAAATTCACCCACTGGCTGCTTTCAGCTGTGTGAGCCCAGCAGGCCAGGCGCTAATGTGCTGCTTTCATTATATTTCACACACACGCACACACACAACCCCTCCATTTCTGAATGGCGGCAGAGCCGTGGAGTTCTTCCCCAGTGTTCCGCTCTCCCCCCCCCAGTCAAACATGCACAGTCAAGTTAGAAGCAGCACTTCACACAGCTTATGCCCCAACTGAGTGATTTTCTAGTAACTGCAAAAAATAAATGTTTTTCCTCCTATTCCCTTTTGCAGACATAGGATCATTCCCCTGATATGACATTTCTATGCCTGCATATATCACATATGATGAGGGCCTTCCCTACCATTGAGCAGAGTGAGGGGGTTGCCTCAGGCAGTTGATTTTGGTGTCAAGAACAGGCGACTCATGGTTAGTTATCCAACTGGTTTTTCCAGTTTCGTTTTGTTGTTTGTTTTTAATACCAAGGAGCGCAAGAGGCAGTTGTGGGTGGTTTTGCTTCACCTCAGGTGTTGAAATAACTTGATAGGCCTTGGATGTTATGCACATTGACTTGAGGAAAGTATTTCCAGTCAGTTGTCATGGGTGAGGCCTCCAAATATCTTGTATGGCTAATATATGCTCAGGGGACTGAACTGGTGGTGACAGACCTGCCAACAAACCTAGGGGTCATAGTAGATAGCTCAATGAAGATATCAACAGAGTGTGTGGCAGCTGTGAAAAAGGCAAATTCCATGCTAGGGAATCATTCGGAAAGGAACAGAATTTAAAGCTCCTGATAGGATAATGCCATTATACAAATTTATGGCTTGAGACCTCGTTCAGAGTAGTAGGTACAGTTCTGGTTGCCTCACCTCGAAAAGGATATTGTACAGTTGGAAAAGGTTCAGAAAAGGGCAGCCAAAATGATCAAGAGAATGGAGAGCCTTCCCTATGAAGAAAGGTTACAGTGTTTGGCACTTTTTAGTTTAGGCAGAAAGGAGAGTAAGAGGTGACATGACAGAAGTTTGTAAAACTGTGCATGTCACAGAGAAACTGGATAAAGAAAAGCTTTTTCTCCATCTCTCTTAGCGTTAGACCGCATGGACACCCAATGAAGCCAAATGTTGGAATATTCGGGACAGATGAAAGAAAGTTACTTCCTCACATCCCACATAGTTAAACTATGGAACTTCCTCCTACAGAAGGCAGTGATAGCCAACAACTTGGATGGTTTTAAAAGAGGAGTAGACAAATTCAAGAAAGCTATTGAAGGCTACTGGCCATGATGGCTACACTCAGCTCCGGGTTGGAGGCTGCATTCTACTGAATGCCAGTTGGAAAACCCAGGAGAAGAGGGTGCTCTTTTGCTCAAGTCTTGCTTGCAGGTTTCCCACAGGCATTTCACAGTGTGTGAGATGTTTGTAATGTAGCTTTCTTGCTTTTGGGAGTTAATGTATCTATGTGGGGTTTATTGCCTATTGGTTTGGTCGTGGGTTGCTCTGGGTTGCTCCACGACTAACAAATTTAATAAATAAAATAAATATAATCAATAATCTGGTTGCCACTGTGAGAACAGAATGTTGGACTAGATGGACCATTGACCTGATCTAGCAGGCTTTTCCGACATTCCTATGTTCTTAATACATGAAGAAGAAGAAGAGGAGTTTAGAATTGATATCCCACTTTATCACTACCCAAAGGAGTCTCAAAGTAGCTAACATTCTCCTTTCCCTTCCTCCCCCACAACAAACACTCTGTGAGGTGAGTGAGGCTGAGAGACTTCAGAGAAGTGTGACTAGCCCAAGGTCACCCAGCAGCTGCATGTGAAGGAGCAGGGACACGAACCCGGTTCACCAGATTATGAGTCTACCGCTCTTAGCCACTACACCACACTGGCTCTCGAGACACATGAGAAACATGGGGACCCCATAAGACACATGGGGACTCCAGACATACCCATGAAATACAAGACACTAAAACCTGGGCAGCAGTACGTGAGTTTGTCAAGGAACCAGTTGCACGTATTATTGCTCATGCCTACAAGATGTTCACATGTAGTCCAGTGTACTGAAGTCTTGTGCTTGGAATCTTGAAGAGTTGCATCTGGGCCAAAGTCTTGCTTTAGTCCCATTGAAATCCGTAGGACTTAACGTTAGTTATGACTAAGCTATTGGATTGATTGCAATGAGACTAAAGCATGACTAGCTTAGATCTTGTCCATGCTTTGCTTACCCTGTGCCTAGAAAGCACGAGTTCAAGCAGTTTTCCGTTTGTTCTGCCACTTTCTCCAGAAAAACCTGCTCTTTAACATTGAATCGAAGCAAGCATCAATCCACAGAAAACCCAACTGGCATTTGATTCAGCAGTAAAGAGAGAACAAGCAGTGTGGATGAGCCCTTAGTCTAGATTTAGTGCTAAGTCTGGAAGGTTTAGTCCCATTGGTTTAAAAAA